GAACCGATCATTTTTCTACAGGCAAAGGAATCTATGGTGGCTCCTGTTTGCCTATGTATTCAAAAGAGACGGTATTTTCACTATTTACATTATTCGGATTATTGTTCTCATCTTTGTCACCATATTTATTACAACGTTTCGGCCTACTTCAGGTGGTTGGAATGTCGAAGGCCGGAGCATACAACGGCCGAAACGACATAATAAATATGGCGACAAAAATGAGGACAATACAAATAATGTCGAATAATCAGAAATATAGACAGATACTGAACGGTCGAAACGTTGTAATAAATATGGCGACAAGCTTGAGGACAATAGTCCGAATAATGTAAATAGTGTACATAATACATCATCTCAGAAATATAGACATATACTGAACGGCCGAAACGTTGTAATAAATATGGCGACGAACTTGAGGACAATAGTCCGAATAATGTAAATAGTGTACATAATATCTCATCTCAGAAATATAGACAGATACTGAACGGCCGAAACGTTGTAATAAATATGGCGACGAACTTGAGGACAATAGTCCGAATAATGTAAATAGTGTACATCCGAATATAGACAGATACTAAATAAACGTTGTAATAAATATGGCGATGAGGACAATAGTCCGAATAATGTAAATAGTGTACATCTCATCTCAGATATATAGACAGATACTGAACGGCCGAAACGTTGTAATAAATATGGCGACAAAGATGAGGACAATAGTCCGAATAATGTAAATAGTGTACATAATACCTCATCTCAGATATATAGACAGATACTGAAAGGCCGAAACGTTGTAATAAATATGGCGACAAAGATGAGGACAATAGTCCGAATAATGTAAATAGTGTACATAATACCTCATCTCAGAAATATAGACAGATACAGATGGTATTTTAAAGTAATATGTTTATACCGTCGATACACGAAATATATCAGTCTATTAAATTATCCCTACACCTGTTCGAATATAATAGAGCATATGTCTTAGCTTAGTTTTTGCTCCGTCCGTGTCTTCTCCAGCTATAGGTGAAGTAGCACGTCACACCAGGCTCTCTTGAAATGGATGGCCACCAGTCTATGAGAAGGACAAGTCTAACAGTTGAGAATGCAAAGATAAATCATTCCATTTCCTTTTCCTAGAAGTCATGTTAATTCACTTATTAAAAAAAAGAAATGCTTAGAGAGCTATGATTATATTCGTCTTGAAGGGGCAAAGTATTAAAAACAGCGAAATAATAAATAATAAAAATAGCGCCAGTGATCAGAATTAATACTATTTGGAGCATTTCCTTTTAAGTGGTCATATATTTTTTTAACCCTCAAATCGTCTCGTTTAAATAATGGCCGACTGTGATAAGTACCTAAAACTGACATAATCGAGTAAGTGATTGAATGAGAAACACGTCAAAATCCACAAACGTTCTGTTCTTAGGTTATCTTTATTCATGTCTTATTTATTGAGTTTTGTTTCTTTTCTTTTATGTTGTACGATATTTTGCTTTGTTTTTTGTAAAACGTCTTTGGTTTCTGTTCGTATCTTCGTTATACGTCAGTTTATTTGGTTTTCCTTTGGATTGTTTTTTTTTTCTTATTTTTTGTTTAAATTTTTATCGCGGAATGCCATCATCGGCGCCAAATCGATATTCTCAATCTTTTTCGCGGAGAACTCGAGGCGAAGTTGCACGTGTGCACCTCCCGACCAAGAGAGCTCCAAAGAAGAAGAAGAAGAAGAAGAAGAAGATGAAGTTAAAAACTAGAATGAGAAGACATTGAGAATACAATGATGAAAAATAAGAATAAAGGAAAGGGGAAGAATAAGCAAGACAATGAAGGAGAGATAGAGATAAAGGGAGGAAATAAAATCGGGGTCATAAAAAAAGAAAAAGAAAAGAGGAGGAATGAGAAAAAAGGAATTAGAATGACATGAGAAAAAACAGGAAGTAAAAAAGAAGACTGAAAAACTCGGAGAAATGAATGAATGACAGAAAGAAGAAGAAGGAGAAGAAGCAGAAGAAGAAGAAGAAGAAGAAGAAGAAGAAGAAAAGAAGAAGAAGAAGCATGAAAAGAAAAAGGAAATAAAAAGACGAAAAAGAAAAACGAGTAAGACACTGATGATGGCGATGACATTGGGTAAGGTGATGGCAAAGAGGAAAGTGTTGAAAACTAAGTAACGAAGAAAACGAAAATAAAAATAAAAAAGTACGAAGAAGAAAGATGACGAAAGACATATCTTAAAAGGAGGAGTAAAGAAAGAAAAGAATGAAAAGATATAGACATGCAATAAGAATAAAAAGATGGCAATGAAGAAAAAGAAAACGAAAAGAAAAGAACATCAACGACAACAAAGATGGCTTCCTCCTCTTTCGTTTTCTCTTCAGGTCAAATAGTGTTCAGAAGATATTGTTTTGTCAAACTTTACTAGTTGTGTTTTACGTCAGAAACTGATCATCGCTCACCCCGACAGATAATGGCCACGCCTACTCACACAGGAAAAAGACAAGCAGACTGAGAATGCGTGATATGTAGTCTTTTAAAAAATGCTCACCATGTTAAAAGACACATACAGATCATACATGGTATAATTAACATTTGCTAAAATCGCAGATTTACCGCTCAAGCAGGGAATTTGATCTGTCCATCCCCGTGCTCCATTATTAAATCCGTTTACCAGACTAGAGTAAGTTTATTCGGAGATAAAGATTTTATTTTTATTTTTATACTGAAACAAAAGAGTGTTTTAGACTAAATCGAGTTTGCTGATTCCGAATCTGTATTCAGAATTGTTCTAGAAGATAAGTATTTGATCATATGCCCACGATTTAGAAGAACTTTCTCAACTCCACGAGAGACCCTCTTTGCGACTGCTCGGTTTCACACTGCCTGCTGACCTGAGATGGAACGAATACATTGCGCCAATAGCTTCGTCCACCTCTAGGAAAGTGTTGAAGCTTAAATAAGCATGGAATAATACAACACAAAATGTACGTTAACAAAATGTATTGAAACAAAGAATAGGTACACAATATTTACAGTTAGTTTGGTATATTCTTGGGAAGACTGTTCCTGCATAATGGGTTGACTAAATCGCAGTCGGGCAGAGTCTCTGGATTCAATTTCTTAATCTCTACTATCTTCCCCGTCTTCCGGTACCAACCCATATTTATATGGTCGGTAGTCCGCTTATGTAAATTAGGTGTATCATACACAACAGAAAGTTGGCACCCTGTGCCGCGCCAGAAAATTTTTCTCGCCGGAGTCGATCCTTCAAATCTACAAATCAACCATTCGCCCTTCCATAGAGTTATTGCTGCCATATATGGTCTGGAGCCCCTTCTAATTGTCTCAAGGTCCTTGATAAAATCTAAAGACGGATATGCAATGTAATTGACCCTGATCTGGCATCTCGTCTCTCACAGACGTGCCGTTGCCACCCTCTGTCTTTTTTACAATTACTTTCACGGTCACTGCTCCGATGTGCTGCTTTCGTTGGTTCCCAAACTTCATGAATTTAAGTGTTCACCTAGGTTGGCATCTCGCTCTCACTCTTTCACTGTCAAAACTGTTAAATGTAGCCGTCTCTTCTACTCCAATAGCTTCATGTCTCGTACCTCTCACCTGTGGAACTTCCTCCCAATTTCTCTTTTTCCTGATAGCTATAATCTCCAACTATTTATAATGTAATGTCAATCGACGTCTCCAGATGCCCTGATCTATCCCCTAACCTTCTCTTCATCTTTTCCTCTATCACTCCTCTTTGTTCTTGTTCCAACTCTGATAACCCCTTTGAATGCTAGTGATTCCCCGTCTTGTCTGGGGTTGAATGCTTAAAAAAAAATGAATTACACTAAACAATAGAAAAACTTTTTCTTCGTTACTCAGATAAATGAACATGGATGATTCTAATTCGATTACGCTGATTCCGAATCTGTATTCCGAGTTATTCTAGAACGTCGGAATTTTGCGTTCTTTTTAATACTATATTTCAACCAATACAAAACGCAGGAACCACTTTCAAGTAGAAGATTAATTTATGAGAATGTTGTAAGTCCGTAGAGATTGGTTAATTGTTTGTGTATCAACCTCTATGCCGCAAGCTAAATATTTTGTACTCAATATTAATTTATTTTTCGACATAAAAATGGTTTACTCGTGGCATTCTTACTAATTAATCCATAGCTGAGAGGAGAAGAGGTTGTATCATAGTTTTTGCAAGAGTATTTGAGCGCCAGTGAAAATAATGAACTCAACTCTCCGATTAAAAACCTCTGCAATTCCAAGCTTACAGCACCTGGTATTCCCAAGCGGTCACCTGTCGAGGTAATGACTGGACTCGACGTTGTTAAATTCGATGATTTTACAAGAATCGGTGTTTAAACTTGATATGACCGTAAGCCTTTTAAGGACATAAAGGGAGGAAGTAGGAAGTGTATATATATATATATATATATATATATATATATATATATATATATATATATATATATATATACTAGCCAAATTATCCGCGCCTTGATCCATGTCACCCATTTTTCTTGTTAGAAAATGATGATTGATTTTAACTCATTGTTATAATTCGTGAAGAAAAATGATGCATTTCAGTATTACTCAATGATCTTGCCGATGTGACCTCCATTTTCTGGCTTTCTCCTCCTATATTTTTGATAGGAGACATTCCTTTGTTCAAATTTAAATATAATTTAAATCAAAGGGAAAAATTCTGTGGTTGGTTGTGCGAAATCAGCTTGATCTGAGCCCATTAATATGCCTTTGATGCAATACTTGATTGCATGAATTGATCAGCAGATTTCAACATTGATATGACAGTTCAGTTGAATTTTCGAAACAAATATGTATTGTAAGGCACTATCAACTGATTGGTAATTTCTTGTTCAACTTGACGTCCATATTGTCTCATTTTTATCTTGCTGATTTTGGCCCAAAAGTTACTGACCCTTTTAAATCTTTAATAACTTTTAACTTCCAAAATTTCAGCAGTAGGTAAAATGATACTTCCGCGATTTTCGGCAATATTCTTTGCAACATTCTTTGTAAGGAGGAACGCGAAACTCCCATTTGTTGGGATCTTCTCCTGGTTGAAACAGATGGATTTTCTTCCAGGCTTCGCTCCAGTTCTCGTTGATTCTCAACAGTTCTTGCCGTAAAGGCCTTCTGGATCTTGGCAGATCACAAACGGTACCCTGCTCTTGAAAACGGCTAACTATTCCGCGAAACGTGTTTTTGCTCGGGCTTCTCTGCTATTGAAACGCCGACGGTAAGAAAGCTGCGTTTCTGAAATTGACCCATGGAACTCAAAGTACCTCTATACAATAAAGGTTCATTCCTCGGTGCTATATCTGCTCAAGATAACGCCGAAAGGGCAGTTCTAAATGCTCTGAAAAAATAAAAGAAAAATATTCAGAAATAAAATAGTTATGAATTTTTTTCATAGGTCAGTAACTTTTGAGCCACCCTATATATATATATATATATGTTGCCAGTAATATTTTTCTTTTCAAAGATTTATTGCTGGTAATAGTTTTGTCTCATCCAGCTTTATCTACTCTCAAAAAGCAGTTGAATACACACCTTTTTATAGAGTTCAATTTTCATTTGATCTTAAGTTTATTTATATCAATCTCAATAGGTTATGTAATGCCGACAAAATTTTTAGGATAAGTTTGTTTGAATATAATACGTAGTCTTTGTAAGAAATCAGTTTGTAGATCAGGTTTCATTAACGTATTTTTGTAAAGAGGGTTTTTGTCGATAATTTTTTGCTGATAAGTTTGATTTTTAAAAAAAAATGTATTGCTGGCATTTTTAATATGAAAATAAATTTTTATACTTTCGTCGTGTTTTGACCCCACCCAAGTTTGAGGTTAACTATTTACCCTTAACTTGAACCCTAACAGGTGCTACCACCCCAAGTCATCTTTGGAAAGTGAAGAAAATGACCAAAAATCTACTTTTTAAGAACATGACCTGACATAAATTAAACAATAATTGTTAAAAAACCTTCTATGCAGGATTATGCTTGAACTATATACAAAACAAAAAAGAAAATATTTTCGGTGTTTTATAAAGATAAATCGGAGAGTGTCTGATACGTAAATACATACAGTAATAAGTGGAGTAAATATGTATAATGATAATTTGGACACAATTGGACGGTGGGTGATGGTGGGACGACGTGTGTCCCCTCATTAGGTGTAGAATTTTACAACTTAGGTATTCAATGAGGCGTCCCTAGCAAAACGACAATTTATTCATCGCACCCTGTCATATATATATATATATATATATATATATATATAAATAATATATATATATATATAATAATAATCGTCTACTCTCTATCGGTTATTAGTCATTGAATTTTATTACCACATGTCCATGAATTTGTTTGATATTTTCGTTAACCTGATGAATATTCATGGCCATTCCCATAACTAAAAACTTTGAAAAACCAATACAAGTATTTGTTAACGAATAAAATCATTGCATTTGTCTTGAGAAAGTCCCACAGATGACGAGATGTGTGGACTGAGATAAGTTTTCCTTTCGTCTTTATTCCTATATATACGCAGAAGAATATTGAAACCGTAAAACGCAAATGAAGATAGAAAACAAATAATAAACAAATAATAATAATAATAATAATAATAATAATAATAATAATAATATGAGTTTGTAATGGTTCACATGTTATCACACTGGAGAAAGTGAACTCGCTGCAATGAAGATATCATTGACTCCATTTTGATTTTGTTTCCTTCAATTTTTCGTCAGCCCCTTTCTTTCTTTCTTTCTTTCTTTTTTTCTTATTCTACAATCATCTTTTCATTTTCTTCTTACCGTCAATACATTTTTTCTATTTCTTTTTTTTCTTTCTTTCTTCCTTTCTTTCTTTTCCTATTCTACAGACATCTTTTTATTTTCTAGCCTTCCTTCTTACCATCAATACATTTTTCTCTCTTTCTTTCTTTCTTTCTTTTTTCTTTCTTTCTTTCTTTCTTTCTTTTCCTATTCGACAGACATCATTTTATTTTCTAGCCTTCCTTTTTACCATCAATACATTTTTCTTTCTTTCCTTCTACTTTCTTTCTTTCTTTCTTTTCCTATTCTACAGACATATTTTGATTTTCTAGCCTTCCTTACCATCAATACATTTTTTCTCTCTCTCTTTCTTTCTTTTTTCTACTTTCTTTCTTTCTTTCTTTTCCTATTCTACAGACATCTCTTTATTTTCTAGCTTTCCTTCTTACCATCAATACATTTTTCTTTCTTTCTTTCTTTCTACTTTCTTTCTTTCTTTCTTTTCCTATTCGACAGACATCTTTTGATTTTCTAGCTTTCCTTCTTACCATCAATACATTTTTCTTTCTTTCTTTCTACTTTCTTTCTTTCTTTCTTTCTTTCTTTTCCTATTCGACAGACATATTTTGATTTTCTAGCCTTCCTTCTTACCATCAATACATTTTTTCTCTCTCTCTTTCTTTCTTTTTTCTACTCTCTTTCTTTCTTTCTTTTCCTATTCTACAGTCATCTTTTGATTTTCTAGCTTTCCTTCTTACCATCAATACATTTTTCTTTCTTTCTTTCTTTCTACTTTCTTTCTTTCTTTCTTTCTTTTCCTATTCGACAGACATCTTTTGATTTTCTAGCCTTCCTTCATACCATCAATACAGTTTTCTCTCTTTCTTTCTTTCTTTCTTTCTTTCTTTCTTTCTTTCTTTCTTTCTTTCTTTCTTTCTTTCTTTTTCCCATTCTATACACATCATTGGAAATTTCTAGTCTTCTTTTTTTACCGTCAATTGACTTTGCTTTCCCTCTACAATTTCTTTATTTTTTTCTTTCTCTTCCCATACTACATACATATTGCAATTTGTCCATTTTTCTTTCTTACCCTCATTTGACATTTCCTTCTTTCTTTCTATTCCTACTCTACATATATACTTCAATTTTCTAGTCATTTTTGTTACACCAAATACACTTTTCTTTCTTTCTTTCTTTCTTTCTTTCTTTTTCTTTCTTTCTTTTTTATGCATCATGACATCTTTTACTTGTATCTTTCACAATATTCCTATACGCCTTTTTTTTTCTCTACTTCAAAAGATAATATTGCCGACGTTCTTCCTTGTAATGCAGGACAACCTGTTTTTTTTTCATTCTCTCGAACGAATCTATTTTTCTTTTATTTCATGCATCGTTACAGCTGTCCAACAGCTGTTGCAGAACTTGCAGCAACAATCTGTTCACCATAGACCGTTGTCCACCCTCTTGATTCTCATCACATCGCAATCACAGAAAAAAAAAATAAAAATCTTTCCGACGTCTCCGGAGGTCAATTCCCCATGTCTTTTTATTTCTTTATTCGTTATAAGTCTGTGAATCATTCCACTTTTTCATATATATTTCGGGATATTTCTCGTGGACACCTGGTGCTTGATATTATCGACACTAGTAAGCCTCAAGTCATTGTGATTTAATATATATATATATATATATATATATATATATATATATATATATATATATATATATATATATGGGATAACGATATATAAATTATTTATATATCAAGAACATTTTTAGGGGAAGTAATTATGACAAAGTGGAAAAAAAATTTTGGAACGCGTTTCGTCCTTTACGACTTCGCTAGACTAAGTTCATGTTTACGTTGACATGACTACACATGCGCTGAAGCATTAGTATAGACACAAACTTTGACAGATGAAGTCTTAAAGTACGAAACACGTCACACGAAAGCTTTTTCCACTTTGTCATACTTCTTTCCTCTAATACGCCCCCTCTCGCAGGTTGAGCACTTTGGAAGAAACGGAAATTTGTCGGCTGCTGCTAATTAATGCTAAAAGATCTTCGCTATGAATTAAGAAATTTGGTAGCCGGTAATGTTTATATCTCTTATATAATGTCTTAAAAATTTCCATTTTCCTCTGCATGCAGCGTTGATGAGCTGAGGGTGAGAGTCTCCAACTGATGTCAAGTCGGTCGGGTTTCAAACCCGGCTTGAAGCATTATAGACACACACTGATTAGCTTCGAAATAGTCTGTCTGTTGATGACTATATATATATATATATATATATATATATATATATATATATATATATATATATATATATATATACTATGGAAAAATATCATGATTCTATAAAAACAGCATTTAATTTTACAACGAAAATCTTAACTACACTCGATCAGACATTCTGAGCAATGCGTATGGGTCTTCCATCGCAAATCACCTAATAAATAGCCATAATTGTGCTACTAATTTCAGTGTGGACTCATTTAAAATTCTTAGCAAGTCCCACTGGAATTACCACTTAAAAGTGTTGAAGGCCATATATATTTTATCGTTAAAGCCCTCTGTGCAAACAGAAGGACTTCGTAATGAGCCTCCAACTAATTTCCATCTAAGCAATATTTTTTGTTTTCTCCCCTCCACCAATACATATTGTCCATCTCTTTTTAGTGATAATTCTATTTAATTTATTAACCTAGATTTAGGTCTGTTGAGCGAGATTCGAAACCGGTTAGCTAGCCCCTCTTTCAGTTTCACTTTTTTATCTATTATCATCATGAGTGGCAATAAATATAAATTTCATTCATATATATATATATATATATATATATATATATATATATATATATATATATATATATATATATATATATATGTGTGTATGAGAGAGAGAGAGTGTTTGTGTCTGATTGAATAAATTACAAACATTAAGTCTGCTTATTTTTATCATAATCCTTTTATATTCACGAATATTTCTCGTATATAACAATCATAGAAACAACATATTAGAATACATATAACATTTAATGCCACTTCTACCAATTTCTGGTCATTTCCCTCATAATGTAACAGTTGTTTTACAGAAAAATTCCATCACTACAATGGATAAATAAAATTCTTTTTAAATAACAAAGTGCGTTCGCGCGTGTTTTTAAAAATCACTATCACGACAGAATGCAGATTTTATCGCAAAATAAGTTTCTCTTTCTAATTCACCCCTGAAGATGATCTTGGAAAATATCGAAAGGTCAAGATCCCATCTATGGAAAAATTGTTACCCCGCCTAAAAATGGTCAAGACACTATGACAGTATCAACAGCAATAAAAATCTTGTCGGCATTAAATAATCCATTGAGGTTGATGTGCCGTAAAACAAATCAAACCAAAAATATTACCAGCAATAAAAATCTTGTCGACATTAAATAACCTATTGTGGTTGGTATGCTGTAAAACGAACCAAACCAAAAATATCAACAGCAATAAAAAAATTTTGTCGGCATTAAATAACCCATTGAGGTTGATATGGCTTAAAACAAACAAAACCAAACCAATCAAATCGATCTAGTTTCGATACCAGCTTGAATTAATCAGATGTCTATCCACACTGAAGAAACAGTTTGTCTGTGGATGATATATATATATATATATATATATATATATATATATATATATATATATATATATATATATATATATATATATAAAAATACTTAAAACATAGATATATATAAAACTACTCTTTTTTCCATTATTGTCAGTCGAGATAATATTTTTAGAATTATAAAACGCTCTCGGATCATGTGTGTTGGATATTATGAATCATAGTATGATTTAATTTTTGCTCTTTTCTTTAATCAGAAGAGAGTGATAGGTTTTGATTGATATCCTAATTACCCAATGCACGCTACGCAAAATGCCTCAATGTACTTAATTGCGCAGCAACCCTATGACCACAGTCAATCACAGCATAGATCTCAGCTGATAAAATATTAGGAATCGACTTAAACTCTCCCTATTTATTTTTAGTCCTACTGTAGGCAGTAAGAACATTCATATGAAAGAGCTAAGCGATTTCGCTTTGAAAATGAATCTATCTATCAGATTTTTCAACTAAGGAGACAGGAAAATCAGAAATCAAGTTAATTTATCTCTCATAGCGTTACTTACACAACAAAGTGTAGCCTTGGCGAAGCACATACTGTGAAACTAACGAATGGATCGTGGATTTTACAATGATTCTGTGATCCCGACTGAGGCCATTTAATCAATAAATCTTTACTTTCTTCGGGCGTACGAAGTTAATTCCTACTCGTGTTTTGAAAAGCAAAATTTTGACTTAAGAAAATGTGATTTCCATTCAGGAGGTAGACAACTATGACTCTCCATACTTTTCTTTATTATTGGTGAATCGCCATTTGACTAGTTCTACTTTTGATCGTTCGGTTCACGTCCTTCCCAGTCTTTGAGGATTGGGTTTCCGGTTCCATTTAAAGAATACTTCTATCCTATACTGCTCACTTCACTGATTATAGACTAAAACTTTATTTATTTTTATTTAATTTCTTCTTCAATAGGACTAGATAGGGTCAGCTATCGTCTGGTTCAAACCATCTCAGATCTTTTGAACAGGAGCAGAAACTTACACCTTGTTTCCTACTTAGGATTGGATTACTGATTCCTTCTAAATTTTTCTTATTCTCTTTCCCTCCCAGTAGATCCGTGTGTTTTAGCGTCGTTATCGCCTTGTTTGGGGTGAATTGATTTTTTTAAAAAGCTAAAAAAAAAAAGCAAAGTGTATTTAAAAAAAATGTTGTTAATTTTCTTCCACCATCTTTCTTCAAGTCTTGTGAACTGGCATTACAGAATCCCAAAGGGGGTACCATACCAAATAACAAAACCTGCATCAGTTGGGGACTTTTAACAGCAGCTACAGCTAAAATGGATAGCACATGTAGCTCAAAGAGAGAATAATGAGATAATCAAGATGATGACATTGCACACGACTTCAAACAAAAGATTAGTAAGGAAACCTCTATTAATACCGAAAAGAACGATAAGAGTTACTGAACTTGAGAAACCAATTTTCCTGAAAAGAGGAAGATTTTATAAATTTCAATCGACAATAGTACTGGCTGCTCGGTTAGTGAATGCCAAATGTTTCCTTATAAGGAAACGGCTTATATTGCAATTACCATAATATTTATTTTATCTTTTTTCTTACCTCTTAATTGTTTTCATATTATTATTATTATTATTATTATTATTATTATTATTATTTTTATTTTCTTTGATTTCTGGCGTTTACACATTTCTTTCCGGGTCCCGCCCAGGGACCTAAGGTTAGAAATGGCATCATGACACTTTCCACTGACAAAAAAAAAAAAAAGTATTACATAGATAAAGCCCTCCGTAAAGTGTGAGTTGTACTTGTCAGAACAATTTTTGTATCTCCTTGAGGCATGAACTTCCAGGAATCCCTTCAATTAGTCTACTGCAATCTTTTCCAACCATTCCTAGGGCTCCAACTACAACAGGGATTGTTGATGTTCCCATATGCCACTTTTTCGAGATTTCTGTTATTATTATTATTATTATTATTATTATTATTATCATTATTATTATTATTATTATTATCATTATTATTATTCTATTATTATTATTATTGTTGTTGTTGTTGTTGTTATTTCTGTTGTTGTTGATGCTGTTATAATTAATAATATTTATAAATTAACAGGTCAAGATGTTTTGCTCTAAATTTTTTAGTATCATTTTGTTTGATTATTTTATGTACGTAACATTGCAAAAAATAAATTAAGTGGTAAGAGTTTCACACACACACACACACACACAAATGTATATATATATATATATATATATATATATATATATATATATATATACAAACACACACAAACAGGTCAAAATTATAATATAAATAATGAAAAATTTTAATTACAAGAAAATAATTTTTCCTGTTTGATTTGACTACGTCTTAAGATCATGTGATCAAACATGCTGCCTATTATTATTATTATTATTATAATTACTGCTACTACTACTACTACTACTACTACTACTACTATTTCCATTGATTTCTATTGAATACACATTTCTTTCGGGGTTCCAACCAGAGACCTAAGAAATGGCCTCATGACTTTTCCCACTGATGATTGTCGTAAAGTATCAAACTATGATCACATATTTTACATAGACAAAGATCTTTGTAACATTTTTAATGTAATTTAAAATGAAAATCTAGAAACCTTTTCTAAGAAAGAAAATGAATTAATTTACCTTCACAATACTTTCAGCAACAATCAACCCACTGCTATTCTCATCAGATGCACTAGCAAGTGATTTATTTTCATATAGATATTTCTGCCTAACGCTTGTATTAATACAGTCTTGTTACGCGTTCCAAGTCAGTTCTAGATCCGAA